AATCTTTCTTATGTTTGTTTTATATATAATGTCCAGGATTTTTAGCTGTACCTAGCAGTAGGATTAGGGAAAACTAAGTCTACTCTGTCTTCCTGAAAATGAAAATCTCCTGTTTCTTTTTATTTTCTTTTTTATTTCATTTTTTTAATTGGCTGCGTAGCATACAATATTCACATTAGGTTCTTTAAGAAAATTCAATGGAATTATGAAAAACTGATTAATAAGCTTTATATTAAAAAGAGACAACTTGAGACAAAGAATACATCTCTATCTTTATTTCTTAATGTCCATTTCACTCCCACTTTCCAATTTCTACCAGTTTTTTTTTTCCTGACTTGTTTGTTGCCAATAAATGCCCCTTTAGGACCAGTAACATGTATGGTTAGAAGTGAGCTTTTCTCACTTGAAAGTTCTTGAATGACTCCCACATGGGGGCATGTTGATTTGACTCATTGCTGTTCCCCTTTGCCTGTTATGTTTACTTAATAAATATCTGCTGAATGAATGAACGAGAACTGAGAATTTAACATTTTCTTTCTGTGAGAGTTTATCTACTTCCTTTTTGCTGTGCTGAAGCATGGGGCACATGTGTCTGCAGACCATGCTTGATTACCTACCCGGCACTCTAAACATGTGCTTAAGACATGACCAAAATTTGTCCAGAATTTCACAATCTAGAAAAAAGCAATTTTAATTTCATCACATGTGTAAGTTTTTTTTTTATGGTTTAGAATTTTTTGTATTTTGAATTACAAATGGGGAGGACACCAGAATGGTTTGTGTGTGTGTGTGTGTGTGTGTGTGTGTGTGTGTGTGTGTGTGTGTGTGTTTGTGCACATTTACTCCTATTGCTCTTAAAGAAAGTGACCTAGAGAACATGACACAAAAAAAAACACAGACCATTTTTAGGATATGTTTCCTAGATTCCTGAATCTTTTTCTTTTTTTAATGATTTTATTTTATAGGCAAGTCATGGTTTGGTTATCTTTTTATATCTTTGTCATATAGCGTGCAGTGTGTATGTGTGTGTGTGTGTGTGTGTGTGTGTGTGTATGGAGGAGGGATAATGTTAGTCCATCATTTTGTAAATCTCTGGATATAACTTTAAATTTTTTTGCAAACATAATTATACTTTAGATAAAGATCCCCCCATTATCGATAAACATTATTTTAATGCATGTAGGAGAACATGATTCTTTTTAGTACTACTAAGTATGCTTGGTTTAAATGCTAATAAGACTTGCTGTTCCGCTTGGCTTTAGATTCTGCTTAAGGAAATATATTTTTGTTTGAAAGTATAAAAATGTTTGTCCATGAGAACTTCGGTCCTCTGGTAGAATGGAAATTCACTGGGGTGGGGGAACCATTTTATTTCATTGCCTAAGAGCTCTTGGTACATTACCTACATCTTTCAAAGGCATCTTTCATGCCAAGCAGGCAAACTGTAGGTAGTGAAGGAACAGAAAGAGCACTTCTTCCACGAGTCCATCTCAGCAAACATGCACAGCATCTGTGCTAGTAGTGATGAGGATTGCCACAGGACCCAGTTGCAGGGTTTTGTGTGGTGGAACAGACAACTGGCTCTCCTCTCAGGGGACCACTTTGACGGAGATTGCAGCAATCAGGCATCCCCAGGTTTGCCAGCGGATATTGTGGCCATGCAGTCCAAAATCAGTAACAGATAAAATCAGAAAGTAGTAAAAAGCAAGAAGAACCTCTGAGATTTTAAATCTTAATGTGAGAGACTAAAACAAATATCCTGGTTGTTGCATTCACTCCGGAGGAAAAGGAAACAGAGGAAGAGATGCCTTAAACTCAGAAGACTTGCAGGGAGTTCAGTCTTTTCATTTGAGAACCATTTGGGTGTGTTGTGAAATAAAGTTGCAGAGTAGGCATGTTCAGACCTTTATTTGCTACATTTAGTAGGAAAGATTCCCGTCCCCCCCCCCCCTCCTCTGAACTACAAGAAGCCAGAGTTTTCTGTGCAAACTGAAACAGGCGTTGCAAGAATCAGATTCACTTTGGACGACTCTTCACATTCCAAGTCATCATTGCATTAGGCAGCACAATTCCATCTCTGGTTGATGGGCAGAAAAAGTGGGCAGCTTGCCAGGTAGACGTTTCCATGACTCCCAGCCCCCAAAGGTGATGCGTTTTTCAGCTAATTCAATGAAGAGTGGGCTGAACTTTGGGTCTAAACGAGACAATAGCTGCCTTGGCAGTATCAGCAGAATGGTTGATGGGAACGCACTCTACATTTGGCAGAGAATCATGTGACCTTAGGACTGAGATTTTGTGATGGTGCCAACGGAGACTTGGAAAGCAGCAACCGTCCTGACTTTTTTCTTCTTTTCTAGCATGGCTCAGAAAATGGTGGATCTTAATACTTGACTTTAGCCAGACTCAGCAAGCGACTGAGCTTTGAAGCACAACTTCGCCTTTATTCTGGGTTTTTGGCAGGCCACCAGGAGGCTGTCCCTTTCACGCCTGATAAATTCTGCTGCTTATCTCTAAATAGAAAAAAAAAAAAAAAAGGAAAATATAAACAGAATATTGAGGCATAACAAGTGAATCCTAAAATTATATGTGCATTTCGCTTTTTTCTTACTGCTGATATTTTTTAATGTTACTACCCCTTCTGCTTGCTGAAGAATCCAAGTAGTTCTTTTTTTTTTTTTTTTTTTTTTTTTGGTTTATAATGAACAGGCATTTGAACTGGGCAAACAGGACGACAGCAGCAGTGAGCATGAGATCATTACAGCAGTGTAGCAAACTGGCGCCCTGCCTTCTCACCCTTTTGGTTCAGGAGACAAACGTGTGCAATCCTCATTTCTAAAGTCAGCACAGCCTGGAAGGATTCCTGGTCTCTCCCACCTTCTACCATTCTTCTGCCAGGGACGGCAAGGATTGGTGCAGCTTCTGCGCAGTGCTTTGTGCCTGGAATACCGAGAAGGAAGAAAGAGAAGGCAAGCACCCTGGTACTTTTCTCCAAGAAACCACAAGAGCCCTGAAGAGAAAAAAAAAAAATCTGAGTTTGTCCCACTCCATGCAACACTGCTGGAAAAAAAAAAATGAGACGTTCCTGCTCAAAAACAAAAACAAACAAAAAATCCAAACCAAAACAAACCAAAAAAAAAAAAAAAGGCAAACATTGGCTTGTATAACTGCAGAGACATCGAGCCTTGTAAATCAGCTTTATAAGGCAACATAAGCAAATGAGCCTTCTTTATTTTTATTATTTCAAAAATATGGCATACTTAGCAATGTATTGCACTTGGTGAAATCGCACCTTTCATATCAGGTATAACTTTTTTTGTTTCTTTTTAAGCCTACTGTTATGTAAAAGGGAATCCTTGAACTTTCACTTTACTCTTATTTAACTCATCACCCACTTTACTCTTATTAACTTTCTCCTTTTGCTCTCTTGCTCTAATCCTGTTTAGAATAGAAACTTAAGTAAAAATAGAAAAATCTCTATGAGAAAGATGGTACATGTTTTCATTTTTGTTATACATAGAAGGTTTGGAATGACATTACTATGTTTTCTGTGCTTTTTGTGTACAGTATTAGTTTTTGCTATCTAAGAAAAGTGAGTGTTTAGACTTAGTTGGTAAAAAAACTAAATCTTTCATGTACTGTGACTCATAGTTTGAAATGTGAAAGAAGAAACTTTTTGAACTTCTAAAATACGGGTCATATTAGAATATGCATTAAACTGCTAATAAATAAAATTAGTTTGGGGAAAGTTATTTTTAAATAATTTACCAGAATTTCAGTATAACAGAAATGTAACTGAAAAGATCATCTTCTCAGTTGCTAAGTAGAAAAGAAGCTTGTTCCACAATAATACTTTTTTTAAAAATATACTTTAAAAAAAACATTTGTCTTAGAACTGTTGCAGAAGTGTTGTAAATATCCATTAAGTATTTTAGTGGAAAAACTACATACAAACTTGTTTTAAGTTAAAAACAATATATTGGCTCAGCTGATAAATGCATTGCATTCTAAGTATTATGTCTGTTTGTAGATTTATATTTCTAAGCAACTTAAGCATTTTATAACAAAACCCAATTTTGCCTAGTTCAATGAGAAGGAATCAGTAGATGTATTCCACCTATTTTAATTTTGATTAAAACTTTCTAAACATGTTTAAAATATGTTAAAAAGAGAAAGTGCTTTTGAAATATACAGTATATATTAATGAAAACTATAATTTGCATATTATAAATTGATGCTATATTTTCCATAAAGAATAAAGAATAAATTTTAAGCAAACATGTGCTTTTAAAATCATATTTTATTATATTAAAAATATATAGGGTAAACAATGAGAAAATATTATAGAACTGGTGAATTCTACTTTCTTTCTTGTTATTCTACAAAGAATTACGGTGATAACAAATACCCTATATACTGATAACATTCAAATAAAATGTTTTACTAAGTTTATGGGTTATTGTTCCCTAATTATTTAAAAAACAGCTCTTGTTCCTTTATGCTGCCTCAGCTAATGTAACATCAACTTTCACAGGCTTAATTAACATTTATAAACCTGTTTTCATGTTTCAAGACCCTTTAGTTGAAAAACATTATTTTAAATGTTATTTTTAGGAACCATTAATCTCTATACTCTTAATTATCTTATTAAGCTCCATGCCAAATCCAAATCTCTTTTCAGCTTTCACTAGTTCATTGTGCAAAACCTAGTCGCTTCTTCAACAGCCATGCCTCCTTTCACTTTCAAAACTGTTACTGTGAAAACAACACCAACCAAAATGAACGCATAAATGCAAACTATGAAACCACATTATATGTCATATGAGTAGCCTTGGGTGGGGCTCCATGAGTCTTCCCAGCCTTTTAAAAGAATAGTTTAAAAGGTTTTGCCCATTTTGATATTGTGTTTTCTTCTCGATCGTCTACCTTCATTCCCACCATCTACCCAAATGCTCCTCCTAGAGAGCAGTTGTCTGATATTTCTCCTTTTGTGGTTGTTTTAGGGAAAAACTTAAAATGGATATGAGGAGTGAAGAAAGTGATCATAGGAGAAATCACCTCAGGTAAAAAATAAAGAGCAATTAATATTTAATATTTTTAAAGAAAAACAATAATTTTGACTGTGTTTAATTATAAGAATTCGTTTCATATTCTTTATGAACCTAGCTATTGGAATTTTCATTGATGGTTTGAGAATTTATAATATTACTTACTTTGTGAAAAATTTTTGTCTGAGTTTGTGAGCAATATACAGCTTGAGTCCCTTTGCATATATATCTATATATACATCCAATAACATAGGTGAAATACAGTTGAATAGAAAGTTGTTTAGGAAAAAAGAAAAAGTGTATTTTATCATTTGTTGTACCATGTATAAGGAAGTGAAATCTGTGGGGAGGGAATAAAGTCGTGCTTTTTAAAAATATATGATCTAATAAGACAATGAAACCAAAATATACATTCTTAAGGTTTAAAGAAAACCCAAAACAATGTTGCTCTTTATTTCATATCTAAATTTATGAATTTATGTTGAAATAGTTTTTAATATAAATGAATGCATGAATGTTGATTTTTTTACTATACTTACTAATAACTATGGAAATAATTTGAATACAAATAATGGTGAAAATTGCATAGAAGAATTCTTTATATAAAGTCTATAAAACATTTATTTCAAAACATGCAAAACCAGAAATTTTTATGTAGTATTACTGTTTTTCACAATGAAGGTATAATTTAAAAATGCTAAATATTGTGGATATGAGTAAATCGATTAATGATTGCACAAGTTATAATTTTGTTGCTGTTGAGCTTAGAATCTTAAAAAGGGGGTATATGGCTGGCTTTATGTTTACTCTTTGTGTGTTTGCTTATTGTCTGGTGATGTAAATTTTTTTAATAATTATTTTTTCCCAACCTGTTGACCAGGCGAGAGTTGTATGTAGCTATACAATGTTTTTAAGCATATCATTTTTGAAAAATAAATTTAAATATATGGTGTATAAGAGAGATGATATCCTCTTTTTTGCAATATATCTGAAGTATAAATGTTAGCGCACAGTAGTAGTAATAATGCTATCAATGTGTGATTAATTTTAGTTTTCTGATATTAATTATGAAAATATTGTTAATTTCAATATCATTCCAACTATAGACAGCTATATAGATATAGATATAGATATAGATAGATAGATATCTATATATATAGGTATATATATATAGATATATATATGGCTTTTAAATAACTTCCTCTGTTCTCTGCCTAGTTAACAAGATTTTACTTGTTTTATGAGACAGTTATAATGTTACCAAGTCCTTGAAACCAGTGTGCGAGGTTTTATAAGAATTAGAACAAACATAACCTAACTTTTACACAATTAGCTTAATAGTTAATTTGTTCTTAATTATAGGCTCATGACACTACATTCATGCCTCACAATTACATCATTTATACATACATGTATGGATTTTTTTTTCTTTTAAAACTCATCATTAATTAGAATAGCCTAATTCTAAAATACTCACTATTTAAACAAAAGTAATCTGTGAAAAATCTTTCAATATAGTATTTTTTTTAATTCTCATGTATATAAACCTGTACTTAGTTAGAATATCTATGAAGGCCTTTCAATGGGAAGATGCATACGTAGAACATTTCAGCATTTAAAATATTTATACTAAAGGATCGATATTATTACTTTCATTTCTTAATCTATCAGATATTTACAAATTCTGCTTACTAGGGAGCCCATGTGAGACGTTGCCCATTGGCATAAACCCGTAGATCCGATCTTGTGGTGAAGTGGACCGCACAAGCTCGCTTCTATGGGTCTGTGTCAGTGTGGTAATCTGACAAAATGCTACACACAGTGCCGTTAAGTAATATTTCAGTCAAACTCCTGTGAAACTCTAGTTGATTACTTCGGAGGTAATTATATTTTCCTTTGTTTTTTATGTATGTATTAATAATCCTCAGCTGTCTTACAAGGTAGGATTCAATTGTTGACCACTTGGAAGAGTTTATAGCTCAGCTATTCAAGTTTGAATCCAAGTATAGTAAATTGCTTAATAAGCTTTAAGTTTTTAGAGCAAGGTTTGAACCAAGATCTGCATATATACTGTTCAGGAACAGCAGTTCACATTACAGTGGTTAGTGCACCTCATCAACTTCAATAAGAAAATTAAAGACATTACTGGATTTATGTGTTTCTATTGAGCCTTTTTCTCTTGAAAAATGAAGCTGAATGCTATTGGTTTTTTTTAAATATTATTAATTGCTAGTAGAACTATGCCAGGAGAGATGTCAGAGGACATTTTGTATGACCTATGCTGGAAACCCAAGAGGTTAAGATAGTCCCAGGGAACACATATTAAGTTGATTGGTAAAATGCTAGTATATTATATCTACATCCTTGCCAAGCCCTTAGGTGTATGGCCGCCATATTTGGAGGAGCTGACTGAAGATATGATAAGGAGTTTGAAGCAACAGTTGAAGCTGTGTGCATCCGGGTTGAGGTAGTAGGTTGTATGGTTTAGAGTTACACCCTGGGAGTTAACTGTACAACCTTCTAGCTTTCCTTGGAGCACACTTGAGCCACCGAGGAATTCTTCATCATCTTAATCTGATTAAGCCAATTTCTGTGCAAGAAGGTAATGTGTCATGAGTATTTTGGGTAATTAATTTGTGCCTTTATTACATTAAGATGATCCTTTCATTCCTAAATATTAGATTATTCCATTTACATCTGGTTATAAACACTTGCAAGATGATATTTCTGATAGGTTGTTACTCTGTGATCAAACATTTTTAAGGACTGGTGAATAGTGACTTAAACTGCATTAATATTGCAGCTTTCTTCATCCATTGATTCACAAAATTTGGCACTTAATTTTGCAAATAGCTCATTGGGCTTTCTTTTTGTTTTTATTGGCTATTTAGACCCTACATTAAAAAAAAAAGTCACCAGTGTCAATGACTTTCATAGCACATTGACTGAGTCTTTCTTATGACACATCACTTTCTCCTTTATGTTGTGGCTATCTAAGTGCTTGTTTATTTTTTTCATACTAGACTGTAAGCCCCTTGAGGGCAAAGTCCATGTCTTATTTTTCATTGTATCCCCTGCAATGCCTCACACATAATAAGAATTAAATATTTATTGGTTGAATGAATGAGTATAAGATCTCACTCTGTGATGATTTCTATTGAATATCTGCATGAATTACAACAGTGATCACAAATCTGAGTTTCGTTGATTGGTCCTAAAAATTCCCCTAAATTTAATTCCCAGGCTGTTCTGCCTCAGTAACATACTTGACTTGTTTCTTCACTATGTTGAGTGTGTTCACTCATCCTTCACATACAATTTAAAATTTAGGAGTGCTTTTTCTCTAACATAAAAAGAGCAGAACGAATTCATTTCTATTAGTAAGCTCATTACAGTTTGTAATCTAAATTTAGATTGTGTATATTTCTTTTGAATTTTTACATTCCTTAATTTTCAGATGAACAGTATTTACGTCAGCATCAGTTTCAAAATTAGCTTATTGTATTCTATATACATCCCTTATCTTCTATCCTTTATTTTTGTACAGCTATATCTGTTGAATAAACCAGAAACAACTAAATCAGAACCATATTGAGAAATTAATAGTAAATAAGCATATGAAGTATAATTATTGGTTTAGATCACATTTTTGTTTGAAGGAAAGGCACCCACAGTATTCTGCCTGTACACAACAAATGGGTCTCTTTGGAGCCCATTAGCTTGCTGTCAAGTTCAGTGACAGAATGGTACAATGTATATAGAGAGACTAGTTTGTGTAGATCATCTTTCAGTCATAGAATTAAATAGTTGTAGATATTAGAACTAATTTAAACTCCAAGCATAAAACGTTGAATAGATAAGAAAACATTTGCAGATACAAATATTTATGTTGAGAAACTCTTAAGACCCTGGCTGTGTGGTGATGAGCTTTCTGTGGAACTCTAGCATCCAGAATATTTCAGATCAAGAATTCAACAACAATGGTGGTGAGGAAGGAACTTTTGAGTTACCAACAGGAAGCACACATGAGCCTTAGAAAGCCGAATACCAAAGGTTTTACGCAAAATTATTTGACTGGTAGGGAGAAGCTAAAGAGTAGTAGCCTCTAAGAAAAAAAGTCATTTTAAGGACTAATCAAGAGACAACGAACAAGAGGAAGGAGGCATAGGCAAGAGATGGAGAAAGACAGAGAGAGAAAGAAGTGACGAAAAAGACAGTGACTCATAGCAAAGAGAAACAATGATGTGTCTAATGGTGACAGTTCAACCCATCTTTGTAATAGTTTAGCTCTTGAGAGCCCAGGATCCTTTTCTTGTGTGAGAATGTATGTATTTGTGTGTATCCCAATACACAGTGTATAGATTTGGAGGCCAGGTCATATAGACATTGATGGGCCAAATAGAATACTGTTGCCAATAAATGCCTGTTTCCATGCAGTAAACTAAAGTGTGTCACAGAATTGGACTATGATGATGTGCAGTTTAAAGATAATCTCATAAAAATACTATGATAAATGCATGGAATTGTGGTCTCCTATTAACTCTATCTAAAGTGGTCTGGTATTATAGAAAAATGGCTGAAAAGTGAAAAGATGTATTGTAGCTATGACCCATTGTGTTAGCCATTCAGAAATTATAGTAATTCTGAAAAGCAGAAGATATAATTGGCATCAATAAAGAAAGTAGGGTGAGAATAGTACATGGCAGGGAGAATTACGCTTTCACTAGTGTTTGATAATAAATTTTGTTCATCTAGTTATTGGGGTTATTTAACTTACTATGTATTTATGAAAAAATATGGAAAATGCACAAATTGATAGGATTTTTTTTAAAGATTTTTTTGGGGAATTGGGGGAGAGGAACAATGTTGGGGAATGGGGAAGGGGAACAGACAAGTTGCTGTCCTTTTTTTCTTCAATCTAGTTGTGGAGGACGTCACTTCACTGGCCCATGTTGGTATTATCATTGTGCTCTTCCCAGGTGAGGTAGATCTGTCGCCGGCCACTGGATGGTCGC